CTAATACCCATTTATTCCAGTTAGGTTATCGAACCTAAATGTATAAACCATTTCTCAATCAATTGACTTGTCTTAAACCACCCACTATGCACATGATGCACGTGATGACATATTTAATCACATTCAACCAAATTCGGGTACCAACCCTTCATTCTCATGCCATATTCATGGTCCAACCCACACTCAGAATTTACCCGTTGCTCACATACCAATCATGATACTCATAGCGAGAACACAACCTCCGCTCATTAATATTGTTAATTAGTTTCGTTAATATTTAAAAGAAGGTCCAAGTTCATTTACTTTAATTCTTGCCCATTAACTTTATCCTAGGTCCATTGACTCTATTTAATTCCATTTTATTTAGTCCAAGCTTATTTAGTTTATTCCAAACCTATTAATTTTGTCAAAGTCTAATTTTTTTTTTTTGGTTTTAGGGTTTATTACCGGGCAACTCCTAATCGAGTAAATAATTTTCTAATTTCAGAACATAATTAAATCTTACTCATTTTATTTTAGATACTAGACATATTTATTTATAACATATCCAAAAATTAGGTTTAAATACCAAGTACACAATTAATTATGAATTTTTGAAACTTAGGGAGCAATCTGCCTAATAGTAGTTTATCTAGAGCTATCCATACTAAATCGGGTGTAACTCTTTGTACACGAATCCAATGACCAAGAAAGTTTAAAGGAAGTTATTTGAGACATAGATGAACAACTTTTATGCTTTAAGTTTCACCTAGAAATCGATCTAAAATCCTTGAACATACACCCCAAAATTCGGACAGAATTTACTCTTTATCAACACTAATTTATTAGTTTATTCCAAGCCAACTTTAAACATGTTTTAGTTCACTTAAATTTAGTCCAAGTTCAATCCAACCCATCACCATATACTTGGACATTTTTCAAAAAATCATAACATAATAAATCATCACAACAAGGCATCCATACATAGATTTATCCTAAGCATCAAGCATATAACTATTGAAAATTATTACAACCCATGAAATAAACACTAACAAAATAACTTAAAAAAAATAATTTAAGACATTAATTAGCCAAAAAAATGAAACCTACTTACCTCTTTTAGGTTTGATTATAGTTTTCTTAGCTCTTGCTCTTTCCTTTTTCCCTTCCTCTTTTTCTTCCCTTTCCTTTCTCTCCTCACGTTTTTCTTCCTCTCTTTTCTTTCTTGCCTTTTCTCTCTCAATTTCTGGTACCTACGGGTTACTAAAATTTTTCTCCTATTTTAACACTTGCTATATATATATATATATATATACTTACTTTCATTCAGCTACAAGTGTTAGAAATTAATGGGATAAGGTGTAAAGGTTATGGGTGAGTCATGAGGAAAGTCGGTCGCTTTGGAATCCATAATGGGTGAGTTGGTATTAAATTCATTTATTGCATTTACTTAGGTGTCTATATAAAATTTAGACTAATTAAAATCATTAATTAACTTAATTCAAGTAACTAAAACTACTTTCTTTCATAAAAATTCGATAATTTTCATTTTTTAAAATTCAGAATTTCTTTTCTCCCCAAAATTCCAGCAGTTGTTTCCTCCTAATCCATCTATACTAAAATATGCATAACTCTTTCTATATGTATCAAAAAAATTATGAAATTTATAGAGAGCTAGTAAACACATAGAAAAACAACTTTTATTCTTTAAGTTTTGCTCAAAAATCAATCTAACAGCATCAAATAAATCTCACAAGATTCAAGCAAATTCTTCTCCCAAAATTCCAGCAGAATGCATTTCGAAACAACCCTCACTATAATTGGTATAACTCTTAATTTATAGGTCTAACTATTATAAACTTTTATACAGATTTAGTAAACACATAGATGAACAACTTGTATTCTTTAAGGTTGACCCAAAAGTTACCCTAAAGTCCTCAAATAATTCACACAAAACTCGAGCAGAATATAGTCTTTAAAACACCGATTTTGCATATTTAATTTCTTTAATAATTAAACCATTAATATTAAGCACAATAACTTTAATTTAACATAAATCACATATTTCAAGCATTAATTTCTCATGATGAAATGATAATTATACTTACTCTTAATATACATATATATAGAATTATTCTAATACACGTCGCGTGACGGATAAGGGTTTTTACGGGGGTTACAATATGAGGGACTAAAAAAATTTTAGGGGAAGCAAAGACTCGTTTGGAGAGATAAAGGCATCGTCGTTACTGAAAGAAGAGTGGATGGAAGGATCTCACTTGGATGCCCAAAATGGTAACTCATTAGAGGAAAAGGATATCATGTGTTGTCATTTGAGGGTTTGTCTTGATTAATAAGTAAGATGATGAAGTATGTGTGCTAAGAAGTAAACGCCTAATATGAGATATTCATTGAGAGCCTAAACGTTCAAGTAGCTGAATTGATCCAAAAGAAGGGAATGTTAGATGAGAGTCTTGATACTAAAGACCATGCAATAAGTGCTCTAGAAAGGAAAATAAATAACTCTATGATCAACTCCAACAAATAAAAAGAGTTCTAAAATAGTTAAAGGAAAACCATCGATTGCTGAATACGAATATGAGAACACAACTAAACTTATAATTTCTCTAATGGATGAGTTGACTAATCTTCATGATGAGAAAATGAGGCTCGAAGTAAGGATTAATGAGTTTAGAAATGAAAAAGAACAACCTTAAAGAATGCAAAGATTCTATATAGGGACGGATTACAAATCAAGCCGATATAATACATAACTTAAATATTCATATGGAAGAATTGAAAAGAAAAGATAGGATCAACCCGAACAACCGCCCAAGTTTAAAGAAGAGCATGTCTTAGCTATACAAACGTTGATAAAGGAAAGATACACTTTGAGGAAAGAAGTAAAAGAATGAGGAAGTAGAACTATGAAATATCATTTGCAAGCTCAAAATGCCAAGAACTATGCCTTGCAAATGTAGTATATTGTTGTGCTTTTAACAAATGGTATACATCCGATCGACGAAAAAGTTTAACTTTTCTATAAGAGACTTAGAAAGCTCATAATCGGTGTAACTTCCTATGATGGTTTAAGGTTGTTGTGGGATTTAGAGTAAGATCTCATATGTAATAGGGCTTTTAACTTTTCTATAAGAGACTTAGAAAGCTCATAATCGGTGTAACTTCCTATGACGGTTTAAGGTTGTTGTGGGATTTAGAGTAAGATCTCATATGTAATAGGGCTTTCTATTCTTATAATTACTTTCTTTTTTTTAAAAAAAAAATAGCTCTAAGTCATATTAGAATGTGCTAGAAGTTTGAATTTTAATTTCTTTAAGATTGTAATAGGAATGCTCCTTTCTTTAAATCAAAGTAATAAGACATAAGTCATGCCTTTATATTGCTTCAATGAAAATGGTTGTAAATCATATTTAGAATGCGTTAGAAGTCCAACTTTCAATTTCTCCAACATTGTTATCAAAGTTCCAATCTCTTCATAGCTCGTGAATATTTAGGTCATAACTAAAATTAGGAGCGGATATATCTTCCAAATTGCTTAAGTATGTGTGAAGTAATTTTACCTTCGATAAGTACTAGCTTAATTTGACCCATCCTCAATAAGAAGTTTATCATGATTTGATGTGCAACACAAAAAATGATATCTAACTTGGTTTACATCATGATTGTATTTATATTCACTACATATTGCTTCATTCAACATAAACAAGTCTAAAGAAACATAAGCCGCACTTAAGAAAGGCTCAACTCACCCAAAAACCAACTTGATCGAATGGAAAACCAAAATGAAAATCAAGAACTACAAAACATCCGATAAGAAGTTGTCATCCCGAGTTATGAAGTGTCACGTTTAACTAGTTTGTTTGAAAAAACCCTTCGACCTAAACTCGTTAAAAAATGATGCTTCAATGGTGAAAGATTTATTCTTTCCTCCCATGATGCTAGTTCCTCTGTCCACCCCACCATATCTCTATACTCCTTCCATGATAGCGACTTACCCCGAAAGACCCCCGATCATTTCGTTAGGCCATCTATACCATCCATTACCAAGAAGTCTCGACTTTTACATGCCTTACCTCGGCATGTGACGTTTTCTCCAAATCACTTATCTCAAACTCGAACTCGTGGGCCGATGCTAAGATAATGAGGAGATTAAGAAAAGAAAAGGGGTTAAGGTATATGGATCGACTCGGTTTCTTGATAATAAAGAGGATGGACGTACTAGAAATCTCAAACGACCGATTCCGAGGGAGATCATTCTAAAGTAAATAACCGAGGGAAAAAAGGAAATTTTTTAAGCGAGGCTAACCTTGGTGGTATGAGAAAATACAATGATTTGTTCCAAACATCGTGTTAAAAACCTATGTATGATGTTTCAAATAGTGAAATTGAAAGTTGGTTTAATTAACAAGGAAGGGCAACATAAGAAAGTTTTGGAAATAATGAGGGTAACATTGAAAAATTATAAACTATAAATATGGAAGTGGAATATTGATGAATATGTAAGGGGCAAATATGAAGTTTACCGTATCCTTCCCTTCCTTTCATCACCTCTTCGGTAAAAATCATACCTTTCTTTCCTTCTCTCTTTTCCTAATGAACCAAACCAAACCAAACCAAACGCATCCCAACAACACAACAGAAATTCTCTCTCTCTCTCCCCACTCCCAACGCACACCACACCCCCCCCCCTCCCCCAACCCCAACACCCCCCCTCACAGTTGATGCTTTTTTCTTTCCTCTTCTCACTTCTTCACCCGTATCATCGCAGATCTCTCCCTTCCAGATCTCATACTGATTTATTCTTCTAGCTTTTGATGTCTTTTCCTTCCTGTTTTCTCTCCAATCTCAAAAGGGTTTTCTTTTCTTTCTTTTCTATCATATAATTCTGGATTTTAATTTTTAGTTTTTGGTGCTATTAAATTCTTACCAGATCAGTTCTTTTTCTTGGAAAAAAAAATATTTTGTTTTCCAAATTTTGATTTTATTTAATAATAATTATTATGGAGCAAGAATCACAAAAGAGAACGCTAGAAGGCAGCAGCAGCTATAAGTCACAAAACACACCAATTCATTGCGTGAATAACTGTGGTTTTTTTGGAAGCCCAAACACTAATAATCTCTGCTCTAAATGTGACAAAGAATTCCTTCTGACCCAACAAGACACAACTGTATCAACAATTGATGTTCCAGTTCATGTTGCCGAAAACAGTGCAGCAGCAGCAGCAGCAGAAGTTGAAGGGCAACAAGAAGGAGGTGCAGAAGAGAAGCGGCCGGTGGTGGTGGCAAACAGGTGCAGCTTCTGCAGGAAAAAGGTGGGCTTGACAGGGTTTAAATGTCGGTGTGGACACACTTTCTGTTCGCAGCACAGATATTCGAACAAGCATAACTGCGTGTTCGATTATAAGAGTGCTGGACAGGATGCTATTGCTAAGGCCAATCCTGTTGTCAAGGCAGATAAAATTGATAAGATATGATCCATGATTGACATGTTAGTATTATGTACTTTCTATTTTATTTCAAGATGATTTTATGTGTCAGTCAAGGAGAATAATGTTTTCTCATTGGATATTTATTTATTTGTTTGTGTTTGTGTCTATTTGTACAGTTTGGTTGCTTTGCTTATTCCGTGTGTAACAATTTGGGGTTTAATCATACTATTCTGAATTAGTTATTTTCTATAGCAGTTTGATTGCCAGTATTTTGTCATGTTGCTTGACTATTTTTCTTTCTTGTAGGTTAGTAGCATAAATAAGACAATTTTAGATTACATTTAGCCAGTAGTTATCTCTAATCTGTTTTTTGAGATTGATGTCTCAGAGGAATTGTTATTTGAGCCATTGATAATCCCTTGTTGTAGTTACATATATCTAGTATGGAGGAGAAGAAACCAAAAGGATACATTCTGGAGTTGTTTTATTATTAAGTGTAGATCAGCTGGTGGGTTGCCTTAAAATGCAGGTTCATTGCTTGCTGGCTGGTTGAATACCAGAGTTTTGCTATCGGTGATAGGAAAGCAGCAGCACGAGAGTATTGAAATTAGGGATTTACAGCTGCAACCCATGAGTAGTTTGTTGGTCTTGGTTCTTTGTTTCAAGTTGTTTCTTATAGTTGCTGTAAGAATTTAGTTTTCTCCTTTTTGTTTTTTTGTACTAATTATCAGGAACTGTAAAGTTTTGCAGCAGGGTAGGCTTCTGGTTAGTAAGACTAGGATGAACTTAACCTATATCTTCCATATGTTTCCGTTAATTTTATGTTGTGTTCTGTAATGCAGAATAGATTATACATTGCTATATCTAGGGTACCTGAAATTGTTGGCTTTTCTCCGCCTTTTTCATGCAGTAAATTGCTTTAGTGCCACTATTTTGCTGTGCTGTCATATTCTTCCTTTTATGGGATGCTTAGTTGAAAAGTTTGATGCTTGGAGGGGCAATTAAGCTATGAATTGGAATTTGCTATGGGCCTTGTTTGGTATTGGATGTTGTTACTGATTTTTTTGTTGTCATTGGTTTCGCATACGGTTTTTCTGTTGTGATTATTGGGAGTTTCTAGTTTGTGTCAACTGGGGACAGAGATGGGGCATTTTGAGAATATGAGCAGTTTTTAGCACATATGCAGGTTGGACTTTTGACTAGTAGGATTATATAAGCAAAGGACACCTCCATGCCATGCTGCAATGGTGGCTACCTTGTTTTCATATGATAGAACTAGCACAGAATTGCAAGTGTTGCTTTTACTCTACAAGTCCATTTCTTTTAAATGTCTTCTAGTTAATTTCATGGATTTGTTTCCTAGTTTGATCTCAACTTGTATAATAATTGGGCGTATTTGTTTCATAGTGTTGATATTTTGTACTATGCCAGGATGATTATAAACGAAGATTCATCTCGACTATGCGTTTTGGCATATAACGATCTTGGATTACTATGCCAAAATGTATGGAAATGCTTTGCAGCAGAACTCAGATTTATCAGAACTGCCAGATGTATTTATATTGTACCATTTGCAGACTAGTAATTTCTCATCTGGCTTGGAACTGGGCCACGATGCCATCAACTCCATACTGGTTTTATGCACCATAGGTATGTATTTTGAAACGAAATTTGGCATAATTTTTGGAAGATGGGGAAATGCATATAGTAAACTGAAGAAATAGATGGAAGGAATAAATGAACCAGGACTATTCTTATCAACTAGATTTGGAATTTGGAATGTTGAGATCTGCCTTACTATTTGAAAACTAGTTGGTTATACGTAGAAAATGTGAAATCATTTGAAAAAATAATTTTAGTGTGATAGCTTGTATTATATTGCAAGTTTGTTAAAATATATTGAATTAAAAGTTAAAAAAAAATCATCTAATTTTATAATTTATTCTTCTTTATTTTTTCATAAATTTAGTAGTTGAAAAACACAAGTTGTTATTTTTTATGTTTTGATTTTTAATAAAAACTTACAATAATTCAAATAGAATATTTATCTAAAATTTTAAAAAATATCTTAATATTTTTTCATAAGATTACATAGAAAAAATAAAATAACAATTGATATAAAAACTTGTATAAAAATTAATAAATGAATATTTTTTTCATTTTTATTTAATGCTAATAAGAATATATATATTTTTTAAATGTGTACATTTGATTTATATATTTTTTTTCACAAAAAAAATCAATAATATTAGTATAAAAAGTTATATTTGAAGTATTAGATGGTTCTCCAAAAATACTTTTTCAATTATTTTATTTGAAAGAAATTGATCTTAGAATATTAAAAAAATAATAACTAATTGTTGTTATGCATGTAGATGCATAGTTAATTTTTAATAAAATTAATCATCTTAGTTTTTTTATACATAAATAATCATATTTCATGTCACAATGTGTAACATAAATTAAAAAATATTTTAAAAAACAAATAAATTGTAAGGAGTATATTAAAGTTAATAGACTAAAAAAACTACAAAATTAATTCAGATAAATTTTAATTATATAAAGAAGAAGTAAATAAAACACTCGAATTTTATTTTTTTAATTGATTTTTTTTTACGGTTTGAGAAAAATGATCTAAAATGCGCTTTTTGCTTTTTAACACTCATTTAAATATCACAAAAATCAATCATATGAATTATATCAATATATTTAACAAAAGATAAAATAATGATATTTTAAAATTTTATTCAAAAATCCATACATAAAAAAAAAGTATATTTATTAACAAATAAAACTATATAAAATAATAAAAAATTAATTTCATGAGAATTTCTCTAAGAAATGAAAAATAAAAAAAATCAATTTTAAACAACTAGAGTAATATAAATCGATATATATATATATATATATATATATGTGTGTGTGTGTGTGTGTGTGTGTGTGTGTGTGTGTGTGTGTGTGTGTGTGTGTTTATTAAAAAAATATAAAATAATCATATTCAAAAATACATACATAGATATTTATTAACAAACAAAATTATATAAAAAATAAAAAATTAATTTTATGAGAATTTCTATAAAAAATAAAAAAATCAATTTTAAACAATCAAATAATATATATATATATATATATATATTTAAAAATATATCATATATATATTTCATCATCGTTAGTAATCAAGAAAATAATAATTGATTTTCTATAATTTTATACTCAATTCAATAATTTAAAAAAAATAATAAAAAAAGGTGGTAAAAAAAAAAGCAAAAAAATAAAATACAAACATAAAGCATTTCAATGTGTACCGGCGCACACACACACACAAACAAATTTTTTCTTATCAAAATAAATAATATGGACACAAGATAAAGTCAAAATTGGAGCTGATCGTGAGTTTCTCTTTTATTTCTCTCAATTTAAAGACCACATTGTGACACAAATAAATTTTTTAAAAATATTAGGAATGTAAGTGCAATACCAAGAAAAAAAGGCACGTAAATGCCTCCGAACACCATAAAAATATAAAAATATCCCTGCATAGTGAATATGAGTCTAAATAAACAATAAATGAATAGTATTTTATATGTAGATTCATAGTATAATAAATAGAAAATATTTATATTTTTTAGTGTTATTTATTTATTTATTTGAATCTATGACAATATCTCCATTTCCTTCAACTATTAATTTTTCTTTTCCTTTTTTACCCTTTCTTCTCTCTGAAATCCTTGACTAAAAAAAAAAAAGAGTACAGTTTTTTCCGACTACTTGTCCCCAAGTGATGTGCAACTGGCTTAACTATGTTCGTCAGGTTTCGATCCATTCCATTAGACTTTTATTTATTATTATTATTTTTGCAAATTAATCGATTTGTTCTTACACAATAAAGTTAGTCTTGAAAATATTTTTGACAAAAGTAAGAAAAATAAAATTGAGTTTTACCTAAATCTGAAATATATTATTACGCTTGGGAAAATTGTTGGATAAACAATCACTTGACTTGCAGGGTCTTAAATCTAAACATACTAGTTCCCTTTACAGCTATTCTACAATTCAGATTTTTAAGTATGAAGTTTTCTATTGCTTGCTTTTGCGAGGTTTTAATTGTCATCAGTCAACGTATCTTGGTTTAAAAAGCTGAGATAACAAAATCAACACATTACTACTATTATTACTATTATTATTATTATTATTATTATTATGTATCTAAAAGAGGTGAGATTATGACTATTTACAACCCTATTCATCTTTTCTTTTCTTTTTTGTTCTGGCACTGTTCACTTCTTTTTTTCTTTTTTCCAAGTTATTTTGGATACACGTCTTTTCCTTTTCTTTTTCTTTTTTTTTTCCATCAATTTAGGTTCTTTTTATTTATTTATTTTTATTTTTAGATTGTTTTATTTTGTTCTCTAAAATTTTAAAATAAAAACTTTAATCTCTTAACCGATGCACTACTCATTCCTCTTTTTTTTTCCCCTTTGTTTTTTTCCATCAATTTGTTTTTTTTAAATTTAATTACGTGTTAAATTTTTAAAAATTTAATCTTTACGTTTTTCTATACAAACTAATGATTATATAACATATACGATATTTTTTACATTTATATGATATGTTTTTAGATTTTATAATGATATTTTTTATTGTTTGAAGTTGTTTCTCTATGCATGGCTTTTCTTTTTTTTCCTTGTTTTTTTTTCATCAATTTAGGTTCTTTTTTTATTTAATTTTTTTTTAAATTTCAGGTTGTTTCATTTTGGTCTCTAAAATTTTAAAATAAAAAATTTAATCCTCTAACCGATACACTATTCATGCCGTTTTCTTTTCCTTTAATTTTTTTCATTAATTTATATTCTTTTTTTATTTAATTAGGCGCTAAAATTTTGAAAAATCAATTTGTTACTTTTTTCCACACAAATTGACGATTATATAACACTACTCATGCCTTTTTTTTCCTTTGCTTTTTTCCATTAATTTATGTCCTTTTTTTTATTTAATTAGGTGTTAAAATTTTAAAAAATCAATCATTACTTTTTTTCACACAAATT